TTGTGTTTAACGGAGAGAAGATTTTTACAGCACATTTATAAACATAAAAGTTTTATTAACTCATTTTTAAAAATGAATTAATTTTATCTTTGTCATGATGACAGTAAATAATATTTTACTAGATATTTTTCAAGACACTTCTATACAGCTTAAAGTGACATTTGAAGGCCTAACTAGGTTAATTAGGTTAACTAGGCAGGTTAGGGTAATTAGTCAAGTTATTGTATGTTGATGGTTTGTTCTGTAGGCTATCGAGAAAAAAATTAGCTTAAAGGGGCTAATAATTTTGTCCTTAAAATAGTGTTTAAAAAATTAAAAACTGCATTTATTCTAGACGAAATAAAACAAATCAGACTTTCTCCGGAAGAAAAAATATTATCAGACATACTGTAAAAATTTCCTTGCTCTGTTAAACGTAATTTGGGAATTATTTAAAAAAGAAGAAAAAATTCACAGGGGGCTAATAATTCTGACTACAACTGTAAATATATATATATATATATATATATATATATATATATATATATATATATATATATATATTATTTATTTATTTATTTTATTTTATTTTTTTTATTAATTTATTTATTTGCTCCAAAGACCTTGAATATTATAATATTAGATGACATAATGGAGTCATTAAATATTTCACACTGTGGAATTATTTACTTATATCCACTTCATTGACTGCGCAGGATGTTCGCTTGTCATCTCAGGGGACAGACAGTCCAGTTAGTGGTTCCCGCCATACAGCTGTACTTGTGGAGTAGAGCACGTAGTCAAGAATTTTAGACAGTCTGGGGGAACTGGCCTTTCAGATGACTGATAGCGGAGGCTTGTTACACATGGTGCTTCACCAGAAGTTCAGAATGTTAAGAAAAGAAAAAAAAACTGGCAGTTCTTTTTTAGGAAACCCTTAAACCAGACACTGTTGAGATTGTGACAGAACGAAGGGATCGATGTTTTGGGATGGGAGCCGGTTGTCCTGGAGACTGCCGCTGGCATGCTGTGACTCATTGCTTTGGTGTGAGAGTCCGAGTCACATCCGCCTGCCAGGTGTGCACTATGTTTTGGCATGGGTTGCTGTGACTGTCAACACCTGATGCTGTGAGGCACAAAGGAAGTGCATCTTTGGGTGGTGGGGGGTATTTTTTGAGAATGTTAATATTAAATATAATAATTGAGAAAAATAAAACCTGTCAGGAAATATGTTTTATAGTGTTTGTGATATGATCTGATTCATATACATGCATAAAAAATAAGTCTTGAGTATTGAGGATGTTTAGGGGAGTATTGAGTGGTTTTTCTTATGAATAATATTTTTAAAGGAGCTGTTGACATGGAATTGAACCACATTTTGGTAACAACCCAAACAAAATAAATAATGATAATAATAATTCCATACATTTATATAGTGCTTTTCTGGGCACTCAAAGCTCTTTACACAATGAGGGGAACATCCTCATCTACCACCAGTGTGCAGCATCCACCTGGATGACACGATGGCAGCTATTTTGCGCCAGACCGCACACCACAAATAAAACATCTGAAAAATTAGTACTGTGTAATAACAATGGAATGACACAGTGAGGAAGTGCTAAACTACTGAAATCTATTTAATACATTTTATAGATTTTTTTTTTTACATCAGCAGAGTGTAAACATCTTGATGGTTCTGTGGGTCTCATCTATCAAATCTGATCTCTTTTGTATTTTCTATTGGATTCAAGTCAGGTGATTGGCCAGGCCATTCTACAGCTTGATTGTAATTTTCTGAAACCATTTCAGAAAGTTTCCTTTTCTGTGTTTCGGATCATTGTCTTACTGAAATGTCCACCCTGGTTTCATCGTCATGCTAATGTAGATGTTGGAGTGAAGCAGCTGATATTAATTTACAATGGCGAAGGGTAGAGGGTTGCTGAATAACTACTGAGAGATTTCAGCTGCAGTATGGTCTTTCACTGCATTTCTACACCTCCCTTTCTTCATATGTTCAATACTTTTTTCCTATGTCATTTCATTTTATTATGCTTAACTTAATTTGCAAAACAATTAGTTTTGCTTTCTTTGCATATATAGATGTCTTGGTTGTTACCAACTTAGAGTGAAAATTTCAAGTTAACACACGTCTGAGCTCCAGGCAGTTAGCGGGTGCTTTGAGCACAAAACAGCAGTGCACATCGGACAGTTTATCAAGGATGTACCGCTGGATCACGTCCCACTATAGTTGTTAAACGTGATATTAAATTAATCTTGTCTCTATCTAACGACTCTTCGGCCTTTTGAATCTATCAAGTAGCCTATCACAGCTTCAATCTCTCGCTTTCACACTTGTACTTTTAATTTTAGTAAAAACATCATATACTGTTGGTTGGCTCCTGTTGGTTGTACACTATTTTTACTAACCAAGTTTGCCGACACCATTATAACAACACAGATCACTGCCTATTCATGCCAGAGTCCTGCGGAAAAAGTGATTGACAGGTGGTAGTTTGTGTGTAACTTATTGTTAACTTATTTATGTTTTGATTTTGGCTAAAACAAAGACTATGTGGGGTAGGTAGTTGAAACGGACCATTGACCATGTTCAAGGTAGTTGAAACGGTAGGCTATAAATAATTAATTCTTTATGAATTAATTAATTATTCATTAACAATTAGTTCACCAAATTGGTCGACGTTACAACCCTAATACATACAGATGCTATTATACAGGTTATATGGGCATAATGTATCGTATTACGATTCTGAGACTCTAATATTGTAAGCTGAGGGATTACTTTTAAATAACAGCTACGAGTAATCTGTAATGTATTACAGTTTTAAAGGGGAAAGCAGAGATCGAAAGAAGGAAAGTCCACAATTTGAGTAGGGATGACAGCAGGTGTGTGGAGAATGAGAAACCCGAGGCATAGGTCCATGTGTTTACCTCTGTGGCTCCCAACAAATGTGTCCACTGCCTAAATTGTAAGCTGTGTTTGAGTGTATGTCTGTCTGTCAGTTAAAGCAGCATTATGTAAGATTCGGCACCAGTGCAGGGCACTCTATGAAGTGACTAATGCAGCCTGGGGGAATGACAAAATAAGAAAAAAAAATCTAAATACAAACATGCAGACACATAACAGCCCATGGTTAGGAATGGCATAACAGGACCCCATTCAAACGATATGGTCATTACTGCTGTTAGCTCCTTCCCTTTTCATTTTCCTGAGTTCTTTTACCTGTCTGTAATGAAAACATCACCATGTTTTCATGTTGTTTCATTCAATTCTGACCCTGTCATACATATGTGCCTTCAGAACAGAACTTTAAAACTAACCATGAACTATAACCCGAAAGTGAAAATCCATTCTTAGTACAAATCCCAAATAAAGCAAATCTCCAAGTGCATTAAAGAATTACCAACTCCCCATATGCAGGGATCAGACTCTCGCTTTTCTAAGCCTATCGTGTGCATCTTATTTAGTTTTCCCATCCTGTTTTCACAATGGCCATTCCAGGCTCTGGCAATGCATAACACATTATGCTGTGACTGATTGTATTTCATGATCCTTTGAATGCATCCACCCACATTGTCTTCAGACCAGCAATTATTTATAATTGCGATCCCTCTTCAATCAAATCGTATTATTGCATTCACTTTGATTTCTTATTTAAATCATCAATATCATGCATATGCTTGCATGCACCCGGGTGTTTTTTTTTTACAAAGCATGAATAATTGAACATCAAAGATATTCAAAGAGCAAATGACAATGCTGTTTTTGGCACAGTAATGTTAGAGTTAAAGATATAATCAAAAGTTAAATATATCATCTACTTTTGCACAGGTAAATCCAACTCCACATACAGGCAGAGATATACATGCACACAAATACATATACATATACAATACACACTTGATACAGTCTATACACACATGGTGCACCTTATACAGACATGACACAATCTGTAGAAGAAGGGCAACTTGCTTTATACATACACACATGATACATAAAATTTAAACCCACATCTGGCAGCCTTGGACTTCTCGGCCACGAGCTTCCTAGTGAAGCCCTTCAACTTTGGGCAAGGAGGCTATGTTTGGATGTGACCGGGGGCATGTAGTATAACTTTGCAAGTCTGTTGGCTCAAGCAAAGTGGTCATTCTCAAGCATCCTTAAAAGACTGCCTGGCTGCAGTGGAATTCAAACCCACGGCCTGAAGAGATTGGATCCTTAACCCAGCAACTTAGACTGCTCGGCTACGCTACCTTGCCAAGGTGTTTTCCCTGAGCATTTTTCCCACCAACTTGTTTCATCTAGAGCAACAGCGCTGGGAAATCAATTCAATTTGGCCGTGCCTTGCTGAAGCTCCTCCACAAAGAAAGAGAGCTCCTAAATACCAGCTTAGGAGGCACTCCCACCTTCCTGTCAACCGCAGTTCCGTCTCTATTTGAGCACACCTCAAGCCATTTGATGTCTACTACATATGGCAGCCAGCTGCGATGCATTTAAACAGTGTAAGAGAGTAAGTTACTGATTCCATCACAGCAGACCCCACATTGTTGTTTTTATTAAATTCAAATCCAGTTATAAAGTATTACTACTCTAATTGTGAATCATTACTGTTACTGTTTCTTGCTAAAAGAAGAAATGGCTGTAAGAGACATCCAGTACAGACTTTGCTAAGATGCTACAATCTAATCATGTTTGTGGGAAAGACACTTGCTCCTGAGCAGATTCGAGCTTGGGGATGAGTTGCCGTCACAACAACAAGTCTGCTGTGAGTTTTATAGAACACATTGGCTGGTTCTCAATATGTGTTCTTCAGGTCTTGCGTTCTCATGTAACATCATCATCAGCTGCCAAAGTTCAGTTCCAATACTCAAGACCGTAAGAACAGAGGATGCGTGAAACTTCCCGGATGTGTTCTTGATATCAAGGATGCACCGAGGCAGACTTGAGCACCGATCTCGCTCTAGAAGTCCCAGAAGTCATTGCGACTTCTAAAAGGACTGCCTGGCAGCAGTGGGATTCGAACCCACGCCGCTGAAGAGAGTGGAGCCTTAATCCAGCGCCTTGGACCACTCAGCCATGGTGCCCCAGAAGCGATCATGCCGTGGGCCGTTTTATGCCCACTTTTATGAAAGCAGAACAGCAAAGAGGATGCCGAGCTTCCTAGTGAAGCTCTTCAACTTTGGCCGAGTCGTTTACATTTGGATGTGACCAGGAGCATGCAGTATCACTTAGCAAGTCTGTTTGCTCAAGCAGAGAGGTCATTCTTAAGCATTCTAAAAGGACTGCCTAGCAACAGTGGGATTCAAACCCACACCCCCAAAGAGACTGGAGCCTTAATCCAGCACCTTGGACCACTCGGCCACCCTACAACCCTTCTCTGTGGCATGAGAGGTGAGTCACATTACAACTCAGCTACTGGAAGTTGATGAAGCCTATTAACGAAAAGATGGGCAACTTGCTTTACATTCCTTACATATACACACACGATACATTCTATACATATAAACACATAATGCAATCTATACATTATACAATACACATTTGAAACAGTCAATATATATACGCACATTATGCACCTTAGACACACATATGATACAGTATTTACACTATACATATACACACATGATACACCCTACACATATACACACATGATCCAATCTATAATGTATACATATACACACATGATACAATCTATACATATCACATTATACAATACACACTTGATACAGTCTATACATATACACACATGATGCACCTTATATATACACATGATACAATTAACGAAAAGATGGGCAACTTGCTTTACATTCCTTACATTTACACAGATGATACATTCTATACATATACACACATAATACAATCTATACATTATACAATACACATTTGAAACAGTCTATACATATACACACATTATGCACCTTAGACACACACATGATACAATCTATACACTTTACAAAACACACTTGAGACAGTATATACACTATACATATACACACATGATGCACCCTACACATATACACACATGATCCAATCTATAATGTATACATATACACACATGACACAATCTATACATATCACATTATACAATACACACTTGATACAGTCTATACATATACACACATGATGCGCCTTATGCATACACATGATACAATTTACACACAAAAATATATACACATCCTGTACATATACACACATGAAACAATCTATACACTTGATACAGTATATACACTCTATACATGTACACGATAAATTCTATACATATACACACACACGATACTATCTATACACCTGATACAGTATATACACTCTATACATACACATGATACAGTTTATATTGTATACATACACACACTTGATACATTCTATACATATGACACACTCCATACATTTGCAGACAACAATCCTGTCTGGGTCTCTGGCATGTACTGTATATGTATCTATACAAATACACACTTGATACAATCTATACACATACACACGTGATATAGTTTATATTCGCTATGTACGCTACAACGAAAAGACGGGCAACTTGCTTTACACTATACATATACACACGATACAATCTATATTCGATACATATACACACTTGATACATTCTATACATAAACACTTGATACAGTATATACACTATATACATATACACACATGATACATTGTATGCATATGATACACTCCATACATTTGCACATGTATATAGTGCTATAAAAAGGTATGTAGTATCACAATATTTCTGTCTGGGTCTGGGATAGAACCCCAGTCTCTGGCTTGAGAGGGGAGTGACATTGCCACTCAGCTACTGGAAATTGACGAAGCCTAACAATGAAAAGATGGGCAACTTGCTTTGCACTCTCTACATATACACACTTGATACGATCTATATTCTACACATTCTATACATATACACACATTATACATTTTTTACATATACACACATGATACATTCTACACACAGTTGATACTATCTATACACACATGATACATTCTATACATTCTGTACATATACACAATTGATACATTCTATACATATAACCAATTGATACTATCTATACACATGATACATTTTATACATATACACAATTGATACTATCTATACACATGATACATTTTATACATATACACAATTGATACTATCTATACACACATGATACATTCTATACACACATGATGCATTCTATACATATACACAATTGATACTATCTATACACACATTCTATACACAAACACAATTGATACTATCTATACACATGATACATTCTATACATAGACACATTTGATACATACGATATAATTTTTATATATACACATTTAATACAGCTTATATACCATATACACACGTGATACATTCTATACATGTACACTCTTGATACTATCTATACACAAATGGTACATTCTATATATAAACACACTTGATACATTCTACACACAGTTGATACTATCTACACACGATACATTCTATACACATATACATTCTATACATATACACAATTGATACATTCTATACATATACACAATTGATACTATCTATACACACATGATACATTCTATACATATACACAATTTTTCAAGTGGTGCTCGCTGCAGAGCCATTTGGGCAAGCTGAGCTCGAACCTCACCTGAGCAGGAAAGGACATTGTAATGTTTTAAAGAATAGTGTTGGATATTTAGATACCTTTTAATGTTCTCATATTTATAAAAAACATTTGAAGTTCTAAAGCTGATATGTCCTTAAAAGAGACGTGATAGTGTCATTAGAAACTGAATTGGAAATGACTTATTTTAATATAGTCAGTCGTGAACTGAGGTGTGCCGCTCTAAGACTTGAAACTCCAGGGCTGAAAAGGAGTCCCACTCCGGCCCTGACGCCACCTCATAAATAACTTTCTAGGTCCACTTAAGTGAAGTTTATTTATGAACTAATTTCCAGAGGATCACGTGCTTATGATTGCTTGCAGCTGGTCCCGCATTATTCAACTTATGATTAACCAATCAGATTCCAAAGCCACTATAAATACCCTAAGTTCCATTACACAGTCATCTTTATATTGAAGAATCCTCCCTCCACCCCTACTCCTCCTTCTTTCCTAAATGAGTGGCACGGTGGCTCAGTGGTTAGCGCTGTTGCCTCACAGCAAGAACGTCACTGGTTCTAGTCCTTAATGATGTTTCTATGTTTCTACGTTGGTTTTCACTGGGTTCCCTGGTTTCCTCCCACCGTCCAAAAACTACAACTTAAGTAAATTGACTAATCCAAATCTGCACCATAGACATGCTCTTAGTAAGTAGTTATCCCTTTACAGCAATTCCTATCTGTTCATTAGCTACTACAGCAGGGGAGTTCCTGAGATATACCTGAGCTCAAACTCCCCTCTCGCCTTGCAAATGGGAGGGAGCCCCGGGCTTGAGGATCTTATGAGCTCAGGACTCTCTCCCGGCACAGCAAGCCAAACAAGCTTTATAATCAATCATCAGCTAAGTGTGAACTCTTAAAAGTATAATCAATGAAAGATATAAGATAAAGTAATGAAAGTTAGTCTCTTTTAGTGCACTTATTGACACTTTTTGTTGATTAATATATTATCTCCAAGTATTTTGTGAATAAGTTCAAATTCAATAGAACTAATAACATTTCTTTTTCATAAATTATATTACAAATGCACCACAATTGAGCTCAATGAGAACACAACAAGCTCAAGGTGTTGCTGCTGTGTTTTACATGAGAAAAAAATACATTATATTATGTCATATTTAGATTCTCATCTTATTTTAGATCCTCTGAGGAATCCTCCCAGCCTCATCTTTTGTTTCTATGAAAGGTAACAGAACAATCTACCCAAGGCTTGCGGGGCTGGTTGGAGAGATAATTTGTGGTTATAAAGCACTGTCAATCACAAGACCCCGAAAACTGTCAGCATGCTGTGGATTGGATTCTCTTATCAAGGGTGGCAACTGGTATAAACGTCACTCTGGTTTGTTTCATGGGAATGTAATCTTGTGGCTGACACCTGAAGGTAAACATTTCAATTACTCATTCATATAACCTGACAATCATTTCGGCCAGGTGCTTTAAATAAGGTACGTGTAAATGATAAATATGCAATTATTATTTCTTGAAATTTCTAACTCTCTTATAGTACACATGATAACAGATGAAAAAAGTAAGAATTGCAGATGTGCTATATGCTCTTTCATAAATTTCTATCCTGTAGAATTATTATTATTTATTTGTTTGGCTCAACATTACATTTCTGATATGGTAAAAGTTATAAGAGTATTTCAGTTCCACCATGTCAGACCTTTACTCACATCAGATCCATTCTGTTTTACATCCTTTTAGCATTATTAGATATTACTAGAATACATTTTGGCCTCCTCATTATATTTTGAATACTTTCTTTCATACTTCTAAGAGAGTGCTTGTTTTTTTCTTAGTTCCACAAAACAGTTCAGACCTTTCAGAGAGATTCTCTATTTTACATATTAATTTCTTCTAGTGTTGAATTGACTGTTCCAATTTACCATTTTTAATTGATATACAGTATCTGACAAAAGTCTTGTCATCGATCCCAGTTGTAAGAGCAACAAATAATCAGTTGACATCTAGTTGATTATTTGGAAAAGTGGCAGAAGGTTGATTTTTCCGATGAATCATCTGTTGAACTGCATCCCAATCATCACAAATACTGCAGAAGACCTATTGGAACCCGCATGGACCCAAGATTCTCACAGTGATCAGCCAAGTTTGCTCAGACGCTCAGAATCGCTCACATTTGGATTTACTAACAATGAACTGAACGTGGGAATGTGCGCAGCTTCACGGCAGCTTTCTGGCTGGCGTACGCACATTTTTTGTGCGTGTCTGTTTTATTTCCATTGGCGACTCCTAGAGGCAGTTGTGTTAAATTCCTCTCTACAAAGTGTCTGCCTTGCATTGGCAGCTGTATGAGACGGGTTCATCTAGTAGGTATGTAAGGTTTCCATACCATACATTTGACCAGCTAAACATTAAAGCGCAATTTGCAGCAGTCGCCTGTTTTCCCAATGTAATCTGAGCGATCTACTGCACGCACATTGCTATAAAGACACT